AAACTTGGCCGACAGATTACAAATTGGGCTTTTGTGTATTTACTTTTAAATATAAATTCTACAAAATTTAAAAATATCAGCTGTTGAGAAATTCTTTCAAAAATGTTTCTAAACATCATATGTGTATGTACATATGTTTGTATTTACGTACTTATGTATGTATACGTAAGTAATAGTAATTCTAATATGAATCTCAGGCATTACAAGCTAATTACAATACATTCGCGCTCAGACTATAGTAACTGTTGGATAGAAATTGCCATTGCTGCCATTAGACGTTTGATAGACTTGCAGTGGGTTTTGCTGTTGTTGTTGCTGCTGCTGCTGCTGCTGCTGCTGATAAACAATTTTGCTTGCATGTTGCACATGTGTTTGCTGCTGTTGTTCCGTCTGTGCCAGTGCCTGCTGCGTATGCAGATGCTGTGTATGATGATTTTGGTTGGACTGACACGTCGCTAGCTTTTGTTCGCCATTACCCAAACCAATGCCATTGTAGCCACTCTGCTTGGCATTCCTAACACCCTCAATTGCTTTTGCCTCGTAATTACTGCTATTACCATTCGCATATCCATTGCTGCCAAACGAACCTGCTGACCCACCATTGCACAAGCCATTATTGTTTTTGTATACTTTCGAAAGGCCATTGGTACGACTATTGCACATCCCAACACTACTACGAGTACCGTTACCACTAATTTTTCCGCCCGCTGCTTCACACTTCACACTGACTTTGTCACTGCCATTGCTTATTGCCGTATTGTTGCTGCCATTACTTTGAGTAGCAGCAGTCTTGCCATTGCCAACAGCATTCCATTGCCATTGCTTCAATGGTTCGCCGATTAGTGTAATTTTCACGGGCTTGTAAATGTTTGCGGTTGGCGCGTGTTTTCCTGTGCCAGCGGCTGATGTCTGGGTCAGCGTAGCGGCTGTTGTGGGTGCTGTCGCTGTTGGCTTTTCCCACGCGATTGAAGCACGTCGCGGTGCCATTGCCAACTGTTGATTGTTGTAATTGCTCAGAGTGGTCGATATGATGGTGTGACGTCGTATTTGTTGAGATGCTGCTTCTGTAGCGGCAACTGGGAGATTATTATTGCTGCCATTGCAGTTGTGTTGCAGTTGTTGTTGGTGGTGTGGACAAAGAGTGTGGTTGTTGCTGTTGTTGGCGCTGCTGCATATGCTGTTGTTATTGCAACTAGCTGCGGGATGATAATGCGTCGTGTAGCTGGTGTACTCGGGTTTACTTCTATGTGATTTTCAATGATGGCAAGCGCACACAATGTTGGGGGGACCAAAAAGAAATGAATAGAGAAGTAGAGATTAGAATGGCGTTATGTTGTTTTATTTACAGTACAATTCGATGTCGTGCAATTTCGTAAACTTATGAAGTGATTTTGGTATTAGTATGAATATAGTGGTATGTATGTATGTATGT